TTTTTTTTTTTTTTTTTTTGTGACATGAAAAACTAAAGCTGAAACAATGTTTATTTTAAATGCATTTCCTGTGTTCTAGTTTCAAAGTGTCCTTATCTAGTTAGGATGCCTCTGTTTATTGTTAACTTAAAGTGGATTTCCACTTTTTCAGTTAAAATGGAGACAACCCCCACTATTTGTTTGTTTGGTGTTCCTATTCACACAGCATATCAAAAAATAATTGAAGCAAATAATTCCTAGCGTTTAGATATATCTATTTATAAGCATGCTCTTCTCTCGATTTCAGTTTTGGAAAACTGACTGTCCTATTAGAAAGACTTAGGTCAGACTGAGCGTCTCCTCATTAACATTACAGGGTCTTTAGGTTTAATGTAACCATTATAAAGAAGGTGTTATCCTTATTTGGCTGCAAAAGTGGAAATACACTTTAAATTGTTGGACATTCAGCTCTGCAACAGAATGGATGCAAGAAGAAGAGCACAGTTGAAGTTCACTTTGTACCAAAGAGCTTTTAGTACAGCCTCCTTGTATCTCACGGTTTATTTTCCCAACTCCAGGCCTCACCATTATCAATGAAGAGGACACTGACAGTGAAAGTGGAAAAAGTACAACTTCAGAGCAAATGGACAGTCGGCCATCTTCACCTCTTCTAGATGACATTAAAGGTGATGACATGTAACAAGGAACATGCTAGATTTTCACCGGCTCCTGTTCCTGTATTTGCTTTTGCTAAAATACTAATATGGTATTAGAAGGAAAACCTTCCGGTTTACAACAATAACAATATCATGAAATGGTCCCCTCTTCTGGTTGTTTCCTATTACAAGTACTTTTTCTTAATGTAGTTTTTCAGAATGAGGTTTTGGGAACACTACAGAGGGGTGTAGAGGAGAACATCTCATGTGAAAATCTCCTTCTAGAAATCAACTCTCTCAAGTAAGTAAAAAATGTAATAAATAACATGTGTTTTAAAAAATGTGCCATTTATAGGAGTGAGCGACTAAAACTATTGTTACATGGTTTTAAATCTGTGTAGAAAACAGGATGTTAAAAACCGCATATGAAATGACTACATCCATCCAAATACATTAGCCTATTTTACTTGCAGTGGGATAATAGTTGACATACTTTTCACCCTTCCATTCTTTTTTCGTTATCCTCAACCTATCTACAACCCCCTTCTACATCCTGCTAAACGACACCACAGTATACATAGGGTGCACCAGGAAGAGCTCCAGTTGCATCATGGAAACTGAGCTTTTATTTTTGGTTCAAATGTTTTGGTATGATATGCTGGGAAATTGGCAAATCACAGTCTCAAGTGATGAAACTAAGTAAATAATAATCTCAGTAACGCAGGTTGTAAAAATTCAGAATAATTCTGTGCAGGTTTTTCCTGCATACAAAAAGACCAATTTTAAAAAGTGATAATAGCTCTGATGTACAATTAACTTTAGAGGAATGTTGGTACTCAAGAATGCAGGTTTAATTCCCTCTTTCCATCCCTACAGACACGCCTACAACATCTCTCTTGTGGAAGTCATGCAAGTTTTATGCAAGGTGGTTTTAGAGTTCCCTTTGCAGCAGTTGAATGGAGTGCTTGATGTCAATCCTTACTGCAGTACTTTGCTACCTGTGAGTACTCTGGACTTCATCTGCAGCCCCTTTTTTTTTTCCTGATGACAGTAACTGATTTTATTTAGCTTGGAGTAATTTGCGGCTTGCCTGGTCTGTAAGTCTGGTGACGATAAAGATGTGAGTGATAATCTTTCTGAATCTATAGCAAATGTATGTATGATTGTAAAATAAAGAGTCTACAAAATGGAAGCATTTAAACAGGCATTGGCAAATCCTGGACACACATGCCCGAATAGCACACAGTGCTGTTTGCGCTGGCAACGGCTGTAATTGACTGCTCACCAGGCTGCCAATTACAATGCCTAGCCCACCCACCTCCTTGACATCACAAAAAAGCCTGCTGGCAGATAAGGGCATTGGAACCATGAAAAAGCGACCGGGACGCTTGCATTAGTACCCTGCATTTCTAAATCTACAGGTTTCGGTGCTGATCTGCGGTCTAAAGTATTTGCATTGGGGTTCAGTTGAGGTATGAAGTGCATGCATTGTTGCAGGTTTTGTAATGCTGTTGAAGATGCCACTTTTTTTAGGAAAGGTTTCTGACCCCTGCATTTAAAATTGCTGTCCACTGAAATTATATTGCAGTAGTAATTCAGTGGAAATGCATTTTCTAGTGATGATATGATGTAAAATGCATATAACAGAAGGACATGGAACACATTGTCTGCTGTGTAAGTAGTTAACAAATTGTTTGCATTGTTCATGGCTTAAAATATATGGAATTATCTTGTTTCTATTTCACTAGCTTTTGAAGAAATGGACTCCACTTTTCAAGAACTACATAAAGCGTGCTTCAGATCACTTGTGCTGTCTTGTAGCTATGGAAGAATTCTTTCTGGACCACGAGTCCCTTTGGGCAGCAATTGCAAAGGTAAAGTAACAGGATGACTCTAGGAGAGACAACGAGGGCTAAACAGTTAAATATTGCTTAGATCTGCTGGTAAAATATTCAGGTTAAGAGTCTGGATTTTCCTATTCAAGTTAACTAAATAAGGCCCTTTATTATCAAAATGTGCTAAAAACTTATTTAATTTTTTTTGAAAATTGTTTTATTAAATGTTCAGCAATTTTTACATTTGTAAAACAAACGTCATCACTTCAAAGTAATAAACATACCACGCAGTGGTTGATCACAGCCATAACAATCCATCCATTAACATATACCTGGTGGATGGAGCACTCGGAACAGTGCTCCCTCTATAAATAAGTATTCATACAGTGCCATCAACCATTACCCCATTACTCTTAAGGCATGCCTCCGAGGGAGGTTAACTTATTTGTTTTAACATGATCTAAAACATATCCATATAGTTTAAATGTACCTGGAAGGAAATAAAAATTGTCATCCGCTGAATCATCTGTATCTAGCAGAAGTACTACTAAGACTTATGAACAGTGGATTAGCAGTTATTGTCAGTTTTTTCTTATGCCTACATCTTTGTTATAATGTGATATATGGAGACGTAAATCTGTTCACATTTTTGCACAAATTTACATCATGCTTAAACCATTCTTGTGGAAGAAGTCACCCCAGTTCTGACTGCATTGGGCTATGCTCAATACAGCCAAAGCAGTCCCTAGCGGAAGCTTTTACACTTCATTGAACTAAGCAGCGGTTCTGCAACATGCAGAGTTTTTTGCTGAGAGCATTTCAAAGTGTTTTTAAGGGCAGAATTTTTTACATTATGTTCAGCAAAAGAGCCAAGTGCGGATGCTCACTGCAGGACGGCTGCGTGGCTTAATGAACCCTGTACCCAGTTGGTGGGAAGGAGGAGAGCTCTTGCTGTGCTGAGTAGTGCAAGACGGGAGGGATGGCTTTTTAACCACTTGAGTCCCTTAGGCTTATTTCTTCCTAGATCCCCCAGAGTTTTGTTTTTTTTCCATTTCGGCAATGTCTTGATTCTGCACATTACATCTTTTAGGTTTTGAGTCTACCCTAACATATTATACATCTTTTTTCAGGTCAGATAGGAATGGCATTTGGTAGCAAATTTGTACACATAATATTTTCCCTAGGATTTTATTAGGAATAGATTCAAAAATTAGGAAGAAATGCAATTTTCCCAATGTAGCATTTACATAAATTGCACCTCCATTTAGTTACCCCAAACAATTATCAACAAAGTCTGCTGAATAAAATGATATCACATTAGTGTGACTAATGTAATGCAGCAGAATGGTAAACCTCAAAGTGATTTCCCTTTCGATGCTACATTGTGATGCAGTGATTGCGATGCAACCATCTGACCCTCACCGAATGTCTGTCTGGGTTTCATGAGTACCTGGGTCTTATACCATACTTAAGTTGCCTTTAGTGCTAGGCGGTCACAACATGTCTGACATGTCTAGACCTAGACGGGCAGCACATAGGGTGCCCCAGCTCACACTCCACTAACAGTTGCATCTTGCCTGTTGATGTGACTGACATCTGTGGCTTGTATTCATGTTGCCTTCTGCTGCAAGAATATGTCCCATCATCTGAGTCTTTCCTAGCTCCACTCTGTGTGGCTACTTTCTCTACCTTGTACTGCTTCCAGTTTTCCCTTTCACCCACTGTTCCAAATCTTCCCGCGATGGTACGAGAATCGAGCAGTGTGAACGAAGACGTGCGACCGTTTCTACTGTACGGTCGCACGTCTTTTGTCTATGGAGCACGCTAGACAACCAGCCGAAAATCGTACGATTTTCGGCTGGTTTGAACGGTGAACGGGCCAGTGTGCGCACGCGCACACTGCCCGTTTAGCATTGCGGTCATCGGAAGCCCGCCCCTCAGGGGGGCGGGCTTGCCATGATCGAGAGTACGATCTGCCTGTCCAAGATGGGCAGATTGTACGTTTTTTTTAATTACTTTACAACCATCGCAAGACTAAGGTCTTGCGATGGTTGTAAAGTGTATGGCCACCTTCACTCCCCTCAAATGCTTACTAGACTTGTACCTGTTTTGAAGAGGATTTGGTAAAGAAGTGGTCTACCCCACAGTGTGGATCTGGTGGTGTCCTGCTTCAACAAAGCAATTCAGCCACTTAATATGCTGTACATTATAAAATGCACATCTCATTTGCATATACACTGAGAGCAGCTTACCATACTGCTAGAGGATGTGCCTTTTTTTAACGACCCAACCAATAAACATTTGAAAGCTTTTTCTAGAGATTTGTTCTTGGTGAGATCTTACAAATGCTGATCCCTTGATTGCAGAACATTTGGCGTAAATTGTTGTAGCTTTAGCTCTGACAGTCTGGTAGAAGTTTCCCATTTCATCTCTCGTATGGGTCTCCTGTCCTACATATGGGGAGGACACTTTGCCTAAGTGTTGGACTGCAAAACCAGCATATAAGAAGCAGGTAATCTGCATGGCCTTTGGGGGACAAACATCTGTTTGATTATACGCTTGATACAGTTATTAAACCTAAAGAACAGATTCACAAGCTCTTTGCTGCTTCCTGTCATCTTCCAGGACAGCATATGAGACTGTTCCATTGGGCCAGAAAACAAGTCGTAAAATCCAAGGTTAAAAGGAAGTTGTAAAGCTTATCCCAAGGACGAGCCCAAATGTAATGCTTGGCAAAACTTTTACATTTTACTTTTATATTTGTTTGGTTCTTGGAGTAAAGCTTAAGGAAAGTGACCCAGTAGTAACGTATTTTACTATGCAAAAAAATGCTGCATGCACAAACTTGGTTACAGGAAAAGCAGTACAAAACAAACAAATGCTGACTAGACACTAACATACAGATGCACCCACTACACTATCCTTTCTAGTACATGTAATAGTTTCTGTAGGAGGATACACCATAGGTTCTTTAGATTCCAGTTGCAAATTCTGTAGCTGAACAGGACTTCATGGCAATTAAGCGTTCGCAGGAAAATGGCTTCTAGTTCCAGACTCTCTTAGACTCTCTTGTGAAGTTCCATTTGGTCACAGGTGGATTGTGAAGTCCAAAATTCACTTTTGAGCTACTGGCTTTTTATTAGAAAAATTGGCATCCTACCTGTGGGCGGTGCTTCTCAACACATGTATAAGAACCTATACAAGATGTATCTGACTTTTTCTGACTCCAGGTGGCAGAATTGTATCATGAATGCCATCAAAAGTCAGTAGGTGCCAAACTCTTTATATTTTGTTTATACAAAGTTTCCCCATAACAATATCCCATTGTGAGTAAACTGGATACAAATAATGGACAAAATAGAGAGTAGCTTTACCATTGTCAGAAAACCAGTTTGGTCTGTTAAGAAGGCACCCCCCTATTGTGATGAACCAGCTTTCTGTCAACAGTTGTTTACGTTAACAATACATTTGCTTGGCTGAGGAGACCAAGGGTTGTCTTTGCAAATTTCCCGTGTGTGTGC